TATCCCATCGATGGGAACCCAGCGATGGTAAGGGTATACCATCGATGGGAAGGCATGACCGTTGGTGGTCATTAAAGGTTGATTCTTTCCTTGTTTGGAAGTCAACCTCCCACCCAGCGATGGGAAGCTTGTACCCATCGATGGGTAGGTGACCGTTGACTTCAAAACTGAAGGAAAATTGGCTTACCAGCGATGGTTGAGTCTAAACATCGATGGGAAGCCAATATCCTGCAGATCCCAAATTTATTCAATCCCATAAATCAAGCCAATCACCCCTTTAATGTAGTGGTCCGTTGGAGCCTATTTTGGCACTATAAAAAGGGGTGTTTGGGTCTGCTTTTCTCACCAATTCACTTCACAACATCTATACTTTCATTGCATTCAAATATCATCATTTTCCATAGCTTTCTAGAGCCATTTGTGTGTGAAGGTTGAGTTGTTCTTGAGCGTACCTAGTTTACTCATAATCTACTCTATAAGAGAGTCTCGTTCTTGAGTGTACTTGTGTTCTTAGACACGTTGAGAGATAGTATCTCTCTCGGTTGATTCAAAGGAAGGTCTGTTTCCTTTGAAGGATTCGTTGAGGTTCGTGTGACTCAAACTCTCAAGCTGTAACGGTTTGTTAAGCACCCGTAAGCTTAACGAGATAGTAGTGTAGCTCGAGAGAGTCTCTCGGGAGGCTGGATTAGCCACAAGTTGTGGTGAACCAGGGTAAAATTCGGTGTGCCTCTTACTCTTCTCTTTACTTCTCTTTTAATTTTTTAATTCCTGCGATTTCTTCGATCGAACGCTATTCACCCCCCTCTAGCATTGGTCTATTATTCTAACAAACATAAACTTCATTATCATTGGAGTTCCTGGGATCACATGAGCTATAACACTACAGATGGTGGCCTGGGTTTTACTAGAATGAAAGACATAGTGCAAGCTTGTAGTGCTAAGCTTTGGTGGAACTTTAGAACTACTAATACAACTTGGGTACAGTTTATGAAAGCAAAGTATTGCCAGAGAGTGCATCCAGTGGCTAAGACTTAGCAACATGGGGATTCTCATATCTGGAAAAGAATGGTGCAGATTAGACCTTTGATTGAACCACAAATCCTTTGTAAAATTTATGATGGATCTTTAAGCTTTTGGTGGGATAATTGGACTGGCCTTGGGTCACTTGCTATGATCACCAATCAAGCACGGGGGAAATATTGGCTCTTTCCATTGAAAAACTATGTTGTGAACAAGGCATTGGACCTGGCTCAACTTCAACAACTTATGGACCCAGGTTTCTTTATACATTTCCAAGTGGACTTGTCTTTGTTTGGTTCTCCATTTCCAGATAAAGCCATATGGCAACCTAAAGCTACTGGAGAGTTTTCCTTGAAAGCAGTTAAACAATTCTTAAGGCCTAGTGGTCAAA